TCGTTTGGTGAAAGGATAAAAATCATTTAGTCCAACTAAACAAGTTTTATTTTCTCATGTTCAATTTCACTAAAGTGATCTTAGCTATCAAACTATTTTTTCACACATCACTACGATAGACAAAATCTTTCAAAAACTATTTGTGTGAAAAATGAGCTGACTCACTTGAATGATATTATCGTCAAGAAAAATGAAACATGTAATAGAAGCATTAGTAACGAAAGTTATTCACGTTGTTCTTTCTGTCATTGGCGTAACTTATTCTGAACAAATGTCACCGCTATAGAAAATTACCATTCTTCATTTTTATAGAACTTTTATCATTTTGAATTGAGTAAAACCAAAAATATTTTCAATGTTGCAACAAACGCCACTTTGCCAATAAGAAGCACCTTAAGTAGCTATTTTCGTTTACCGCGTGGTAGAAACATCGCGCCCGTGAGAGAAATGTTTATGCTGAATCATATTGTGTACTTTGAAAAAATTCAAAGTTGATAAAAATTTTTTCTTGTTTGATCATTTAAATTTTGGTAAAGAAGATATTATAATTATATTCACAACTTTTAAACAATTTTATCTTAAACACTGTGCACTGCAAACACTGTATAGTATGTCGGTTTTGAAATGGAGTCAGAATATCACCACTTGAAGAACTACGTTTTCATATATAATTCTATAAATACTAAGATCCCTAATGAGTTTTCTAGATGACTTTTTATGTTGGAATATGTTTCATCATACAACATAACCTAACCGGCTTCAGGATTGAGCAAGAAAATTATAGCCACTAATTTCAGAATTAAATTACGTTTATAGCAAAGTTATTTTGAATTGAGTATTGCTTATGAATTTCTTAAGATAAAAATAAACAAAGGGATGTGTTGAGTGAAGGCAGTTAATGACAAACTTGATGGGTAAGGTATATCTTAAACAGGATTAGGGCATTGAAGAAAAGAATCTAATACCCAATCTACTACATATCTTACTCTGCAAAATTCTATAGTTACGTGTGAGGCAAGCCGCCATCTTAAAAAAAAGCAAAGCCATGGAACTAAAACACATGAAACGCTACCTTTAATAGAAAAGTCTAATAATTTTTAAGCGAGATTACTTGGGATTACACCATGACAAGGTGTGTTAGGCTGTTGCAGTATTAAGAAAAGCAATCGATATATCAAAAAATATCGATATTTATCGATATGTCGATTTTGTCCGATACTTTCGTCGTTATTTATAGTGTTGTAGGCGATGACACATAGCTAGATCAAATTGAAACTTAGCCAACAATCGCAGCGCACGTGTGATGGAGTCAAGATTGTCTAATAGTATACAAAACCAATTAATAGTTTTATCAATAAACGCATACAATTGTAATCTAGCTATGTATCTTAATTGAGTTAGTTCCTACTAACGCCACTCAAAGTAGATGACCACACCACTAAAACTATTTATAATAACTAAATATATTGTAACGCCGTGTATTTCGGTATTTTTCGATATTTTCGGTATGTTGATATTTCGATATACCGAAAAACAATATCTGTGAACCGATATTAAAAAAAACGATATTTATCGATATTTCGATAAACAGCAACAGCCTAGTTTGTAGTCAATCAATTTTTGAGAGAATCTTGAAACACTACACATGCAACGGCATGTAATGGTGGTACGATTTGGCTTCAGTTATTTCATTTTAGGTAGCGTTCTATGTATTTTAGTTCCATCGCAAAACTGACTATATTTATGACTAATATCTGCTTCCTGAGTTCATATAAGTTTCAAAAAATGATAGTCTCAATTTTATTCTTTAAAATGTTTCATAAGATTGGTTTTGTAAACTTTCTTTAACTAATTTTCCATTTTGAGTTTTTTCCACATTTTAAGAACTGATATCGATAAATCAAAACATATCGATATTTTTCGGATACTTTTTATATTTTTTGGCGATGACACATATAGCTTAATCAAATTGAAACTTAGCCAACAATTGCCGCGCACGTGTGATTGAGTTTCATCAATTTAAGCATACAATTGTAATCTATCTAAGTATCTTAGTTACTCCACTCATAGTCATACCAGATGACCACTCCACTAAAAACTATTTATAATAAGTAAATATATCGTAACGCCAAGTATTTCGGTAATTTTTTCGATATTTTCGGTATATTGATATTTCGCTATACCGAGAATACCAATATCGATGAATCGATGTTTAAAAAAAACGATATTTATCGATATTTTGATAAACAGCAACAGCCTAGTTAATAGTATATCAATTTTGAGAAAATCTCGAAACACTACACATACACGGCAAGTTTTGGTGTAAGATTTGGCGTCAGTTATTTCCTTTATAGATAGCATTCTATGTATTTTAGTTCAATGGGCAATCGCAAAACTGATTAAATTTATGACTAACACGTGCTTCCTGAGTTTATATAAAGTTTTAAAATAATAGCCTCGATTTGATTCTTTAAAATATTTCATAAGATTAGTTTTATAAACTTTCTTTAACTAATTTGAGTTTTTGTTTTGCCACTTTTAAAGTGCTCGGCTAAAAAAGTGAAGAAAATGTTTGGCCTGTATTTTTATGATTTCCGATAATATCAGTGCAGATTTAACAGAATTTCAAAAATAACAAAAACTTATATGCATGGTGCGAGTCTGGCCTGGCTACGGAATACAATGGAATATTTGCTATTTGCAATGACTCTGCGTTCAAAGATTAAAAATCATTTAATCATCACTGTCACAAAATCAACGGTAATATGTTTGATTAAAGTCCTATCAAAAGGATAGGGAGAACAAAACTACAGTTGCACATTATTTTCTTCTCAATATTATCTGTATCAATGTATGAAACTGAAGGTGTTATAATTTCAGGAAATTTTTTCACTAGGTGTAAGGCTTTTAGCATATGCGTAAAACAAACAATCACGTGACACAAAAATTAATTTGCAATTTGTGATTTTGTCTTTTATAGATGAATGGCAAAAGCCACACAATGAAAAAAAAAGAAAAAATGCCAAAACAAACACCCACAAAGTTGTAGATGATTTACCACCGACTTATTTCAAAATTCAAAAGCAATTACGAAACCAATTTTGTCAAATATCCAGCAACTCGAAAAAATGTTCCCAAACATTTTTCGTGATACACTCGAAATTATTCTCAAACGTAAAGGTAATGACCTCATGTGTACCATCCAGGAAATCAATGGTCTAGTGAAAGATGCTGAATTACTTCCAAAACCATCAAGAAGCTCACCACTCACCAATACCAGTTCTTTCAACAACCAGCACCTCTAACAAAGTTCACGGTGAAGCAGGAAACGGCATCGTTGACATTTAATAACTTTTCTAAGACTATATTACATTTAGAAAATAAAGATTATTTTGCACGCGGAATTTTATTTTATTTGTATAAGAGAATTATACTTTATTTATTTATGCATGGAAAAAAGTTTATTTTTTCGATATAGTTTAGATTCTCTACGGTATAATATTGTTAATGCATGTACTTAGATAAAACTAATAAGAAGTAATAAGTCACTTATAGAGTAATTGAAAACCTATGAAATAAACACAATGAAATAAACACAATGAAACGCGTGCGCTTATTGGTCTAAAGCTGTGTTTGCATTAACCTGTGCAAAGCACATCTGAGCTCAACCATTGAAATCAATCAAAACAATCAATCAG